TCTCTTGACAGAGCTTTACAAACCAGAAAAGTTCACCAAGAACACCAAGCTGTTCATCCGTGAAACCTCCAGGAGGACTCTGGCCGATCCACAGCATCGGAGCGCCCGAGTTTAAATATCTACCGCATCTCAAACAGCAGCGGTGTCATCTTGCAATTACACATTCAGCCCCAGCCCCGCAGCTTGAGGTCTTTGCGGCCGTTTTTTGGGGGCCAAGAAACCGCACTGCAATCACCCCACTACTTGCACCCTGGAGAGACATTTTGAACAACCCACTGCATTTTGGCGGCAAGCCCTTCTTAAGTATTCGGTTTGATACCCTGACACCCAGATCCAATTACTGGCATTAGCGCCACATATTTGTCCACAGCTCTTGGGGAAAAAATTACGGTCCTATGAATGCAGTGCAATTCATCATTCCTACACTAAAGTGGACAGCGTGCTGCACAAAGTAAATTGTGTGTATCATCAAAATGTGTGTGTTTTTCCTCTCTTCGTGTATTTCATGGAGACACTTGATGCACTTAAGTACTGAAAATCCAGCAGGCCGGGGAAACGAAAGCAATGGCAATAGCAGCCATTTTGTTTCATTTCTAGAAAATGATTAGAGGTCAAAGTGTCTAAGGTAAACAGTTGTTACGCAAGCACTGCCACACGGAAAAAAATACCCTTCTGTGTCCAGTGTAAATGTGTAGCTCAAATGTAATGCACCTGTCCACATAAAATAGTGTCGCTTCAGAAATGTAACGAATGTACAAGCAAAAATGTGCATCGTTTTATTGCTACTGACTTGCTTATACTGGGAAAATCATGAAAGTCAATTGATAACAACGTAGTTACATACATTCATGCTATTTGTCCAATCAACATTCAGTGAATTAAGTGACCCTGTATGATGGTCAGAACATGTGCATGACTGACATGCAGTGACTCGGTTGCTTGTAATAGCACAATTATTTTAAATCAATGACTGAGAAAGCAACATGACAAATATGCCCTTTTTCATAACCCTCACGTAAGACACTACAGTATGGTGGACATTGTGGAAGATATATTGTTATTAATACTCTACACAATAGGAGCTCTAAGGCCACCAGTCAACATAGAATTACTAATCTAGAAAATTGATTCTTGGCGGTTTAAATAAAGAGAAGCAGAGTGGCTTACTCTGGCACGGCTCAAACTTATATGCAGAAACACAAAAAAAACAGAATAATTTAAGACAATTAAATGTCGAGCAGTAATCTGGATTATTAATGAAGACTTTGTCCTGGCTTTGAGCCCAGTGTTTGGATTTTGGGAATATTGTTTTCTTGATAATTCCTGCGGTATTCCCAGGGCAATGCTGGGAATGGAACTGCTTCTTGTTTTTTTATGGACACATACACAGGCCATATCTCAGTGCGTGTCACGTCACCTTCGGCCTCTTTCCTGCAGGCGTGTCCTACAGACACATCCGGTATCTCACTGTTTAATGCTGAAAGCAGCAGCAGCAGCAACAAAGCAGCTCCTGGCTCCCGTCGAAATGCTTTTGGGAATGTGAAAATCAAGGACCGCAGATAGCTGCTAGAAAACCTCAGCAGCACATACGACATCAACCATGTAAAATGAGCAAGGCCTGTGTTTATAAGGGTGTTGCATAAAATGTGGTTGTATGTAAGCGAGTTCTCACGTCCATTGGCCTCTAAAACCAGAAGTAATGGGTAGTAGACTCTCTCACATTAACAATGTTCTCTGTTTTGGTTGGAATGAAGCCAAGTCGTACCAAACCGTTCAGGACACTCTGCTGCGATCACAACGATCGGAAAACCGCACAACGCAAGCTCCGGCACAAAGCACACATCTACTGTTACGCCTCACCTTTGGAAATTAAGCACAATGATCGGAAACCAACTAAATAAAACTGTTTCTACAGTAAATACCCACCACATAAGGGAGGTAAATGAAATTCATCTCCAATGGATATACATCAGTTTACATAAAAATGCACAGGCTCTCTTGACAACATATACAGCCATTAAACGTGAACACAGCGATGAAAAAGGAGCTGTCAACACGTTTATGTAGATACGTCACAGATTATGTATGAGACTTACAGAATAATGCAAAAAACGCACTGCACCCTTGTCCCCAAGATAACAACTATAAAATGGATGCTGCCATTTAGTTGATGGCTCAAACTACTGATGAAATCATATTAAAAGTTGCAATCCATTAAAGATGCAATGGTATTTCAAATGAGCAACAGGCTCTATTATTGTGTATTTATGATAGTCGACGTTTTTTGTATCTTTGCTTTCAACTAATGGTGAGAAAACACACAATTGCGTGCTATTATTTTATTATGCACAACGTAGAATGATGAAACTCGATTCAACAAGCTGCTATTTGTGAATTACAGCATGAATTGAATCTGAATCCTTTGTGTGCCCTTCCTTACACTGGCTGCTTTTCCAAATCCATGAATGTGCCTACAACATTGTCATGAATACCGCAGACATGTACAGAATTACGAGCATCCAACAAAGACATCTTCCATCCTAACCACAAACCTCCTCTTTTCCACTCATTCACCTCCCACTCATCATCCATCTTCCCTTTCATACCACCCTCATCCCCCTGCTTTGCCACTTCCTTTCAACTCCTCCAACATCCAATTGCTCCCATGACTCTGCCTGGTCTCACAAGTCCTAACTAGCCCCCACCCCTACTACCAACCCCAGTTCTCTCAATCACCACCAGTCTGACAGATCATTTATTGTTCTTTCCCTTCATCTCTTCTTACTAACCCATTACAATCCTGGGGCTTGTGGCTTGTCACAACCATCAAATCTTCAATTTGCAATCCACCACTTCACCTTTGGGCCAGAGCACCAAAGCCATCTCCGTCCACCCATCACACTTCTCTGAATCCTTCACACTTCTCCGAATCACTCATCACATCCGCGTTCAACATGCGTGCCACCCTTGCCGTTGACTTTTTCACAACCGCACTCAGTATACACAAGCCAAGTCACCCACAATCACATCAACAAACAGGATACCCTCACACAATCCTCTTAATGTCACCTATTGGGCCCTTCCTCTCTTCGCGCTATCTGTTGCCAATCCATCTGTGCCACCTGCCTGGCGTCCACCACCTGACCCATCTCGATAGGGCTGGGACTAACATTGTATCCAAAAGCTTGTAAAAGAAAGCCCTGCCAAGGAAGGAACACTTGTCCACAAGGGGTAGAAACGTTATCCACACCACCACCCCCCATACTCCATGGGCCCCAAACAAGATATTTCACTTGTTACCACCTGGAGGTGGCAAAAGTTTGCTGTTTTCCAATATATTTATATGGCCAATAAAAGTTAATTATAACCATTTGAAATGAGTGTGTTATAACATAATTCACCTTTTTAGACGTAAATTAATCGGTACAATTTAAGTTTGATACCTTTGGTGGTACCAATTCCTGCTCTGAAAAATTGCATACCAATGGCATGGGCATGAGACGGTTTACATGGCATTTAATAATACACAAATGCATCGATTAAATGGGACACATTCATAATAGGCGACGTTTCGGGCAATGGCGCTTCTTCATAGCACATCCTTCATAGTGCTAGTATGGCCCATTGTCCGAAACGTCGCCTATTGTGTAGGTTTACTTTCAAGGCAGTGTTATTGCCAGAATGTGTTGCTGTGTTGTGCGCCACTGTCAAAGTACTTTTACCAAATAATTAGATTATAACCGATTGTTATCCTCGAATTGATCATATACTGATTCATGTCAATGCTCTGCAGAGGTTATGACGTTATATTTAGGCTAACAGAGTGAGCACTGTATTATAGGGTCATAACAGTGAGAAACAATACCAACAAGTCAGTAACAATTAAATGAAAAATGTGATTCTGAAATTGAATAGCAACCCCAAATGGTGACAGTTAATCTAATTGCAGGGAGGATGAACTGTTAAATGCCTTCTGTTTGCATCACCACCATGATACCTACCATCACAATTTCATAGCCACCAGGAACATCAGTTCCAACACAAGAAATGAAGATCATAAAAGCAATGCCTCTAAATAACCTCCACACCACCGCTGTTACCTCACTTATCACCTCCACCAAGACTCCTGACATTATTGCCACCACCTCGTTGACATGGTAGCCATACAGTCATCAGCACGACCAGCAAGCCTCCTACACTACCATCCTAAAAACTACCTCGACTATTCTGCCAGTGAAAACATAATTGCCCTCACCACCTCATAATTCCTCATTAGGACCTCCAAAAGTACCATCTTCTCTTGGCATCACAAGAACCACCACGACTTCCACCACCGACGTTCAACATCTATCCTCCACCATGTCACCTCCACTCTCATTAACATGACCTCCAACAACTCCATCATATTGCATCCACCAACAACCATCATCTGAATTCCACCACCACCTTGCCTTCACGACCATTACCTCTGTACCTCGAACGCCCACATCCACCATTAAACACCACCTCAGTATTAACCACCACCAGCATTTCACCCCGCTGTCTCCAATAATAAAACCAACACCATCTAACATCATTCATCACCATCCTCCCACCTTCATTACAATTATCAGTGCCATCAACCACCATCTATCAACCATCACTATAACTCCACCTTTTATAACCACGATCTTCACCACCATCTTACCTCCACGGCATCATCTGACCACCACCATGTCGCCTCCACTTTCTCGTGCCACGGACTACAATCTCACAACAACCACATCCATCAACCTCATCAACACCACCTCCACATCACCACCAAACCACGTTCACCTCCCACCACCACCCTCACACCGCCACAATAACCACGACCATCGGTGACCGTCACCCATCGCACCAGCACCACAAACACCGCCAGCAAAACACAATCACGGCCTCCAGCACCACCACCATCACCACCATCACCACATTCACCACCACCACGACCACCACCACGACCACCACGACCCCGACGCTACCTTGAGCACGAAGCCATGCTGAGCTCCGCGCCGCCCTCACTCCATCACACGCCACCGCCGCCGCGTCCCCTCCAGCTGCCCGAGGCCAGGTCCGCGGCGGCGCTCTGCCGGCCCGTGTCCCCCCCCCACCGTGAAGACGACAAGCAGCAGCAGCAGCAGAGGAGGCACGGACAGACACCCTCGGCGCCAGACAGAGACTCCGATCAGCTCCCGCCGCAGCTGCCCCCGGGGTTGCAGCCCTCGGCCCCCCTCACCAGAGCCCCCCTTTCACGGTCCGCTCGCCGCCAAACCGGGCCGGCTCGAGGGTTTCCCCTCACCGCCACCGCCCCTCGCCGCCTTCGTTAGTCTCCTATCGCTTTAGACGTCGTCGTTGTTTTTGTTGTTAGGATTCAAATAATAACAACGACGATGATGATGATGATGATGGTTCTTGTTGTTATTGCCGCCACCTCCGCCGGTTGCTTTGCTGCTGCCGCCGCCGGGGCGGCTCACGTCTCCGTCGCTGCTTCGCTCCGCGCCGCCCCGCGGAACGCTCCGCGCGCACGAGCCGGGACTACTTTACAGCCATCCTGGCCATGGCGGACCATACCAAGTGGCGCCCCCCCCCCCTGCCTCACCTCCACTCACTCCAGTAGGGGTGGTGTGGTCAAACTAATCAATAAAAGTAATGCTAATGCGTGGTACGATATGAACTACGCAACAAGCATGAATTATAATCTGATTTTAACTATATGGATTTAGACATCTCAGCGAAAGTTACTGTAGGTAATTAGTTTTTTAGTCGCGTTGTGATTGAGCACCCCTTGGATGTCTGCGGAGAGGGCCAAGGTGGACGAACCCGCGTTGCTACGCGCGCGGTGACGTCACCGTTTGTTGACCGCCGCGTGGCCAATCAGCGCGCGAGGCGAGTGCCGACGTCACCGCCCGGGGTAGGAGCTGAACCTGGGCTGAGATTGGCACTAACACTCGTTATAGTTTTATAGTTATAACTTGTTATATAGTTATTACTTGTTATATAGTTGTACACTACACTAGTTATATAGTTATAACTTGTTATACACTTGTTATAGTTTTATAGTTATAACTTGTTATATAGTTATAACTTGTTATATAGTTATACACTACACTAGTTATATAGTTATAACTTGTTATACACTCGTTATAGTTTTATAGTTATAACTTGTTATATAGTTATTACTTGTTATATAGTTGTACACTACACTAGTTATATAGTTATAACTTGTTATACACTCGTTATAGTTTTATAGGTATAACTTGTTATATATATACTACTAGTTATATAGTTATAACTTGTTATACACTCGTTATAGTTTTATAGTTATAACTTGTTATATAGTTGTACACTACACTAGTTATATAGTTATAACTTGTTATATACTCGTTATAGTTTTATAGTTATAACTTGTTATATAGTTATTACTTGTTATATAGTTATAACTTGTTATATAGTTGTACACGACACTAGTGTTATAGTTATAACTTGTTATACACTCGTTATAGTTATATACATATAACTAGTTCTAGTTAAACACTAGTTATAACTATAACTTGCTATAGTTATACACTACACTAGTTATACACTAGTTATAGTTATACACTAGTTATTGTTATACACTACACTAGTTATACACTAGTTATTGTTATACACTACACTAGTTATACACTAGTTATTGTTATACACTACACTAGTTATAACTTGTTATAGTTATACACTAGTTATTGTTATACACTACACTAGTTATACACTAGTTATTGTTATACACTACACTAGTTATAACTTATTATAGATATACACTAGTTATTGTTATACACTACACTAGTTATACACTAGTTATTGTTATACACTAGTTAATGTTATACACTACACTAGTTATACACTAGTTATACAATAGTTATTGTTATACACTACACTAGTTATACACTAGTTATTGTTATACACTACACTAGTTATACACTAGTTATACACTAGTTATTGTTATACACTACACTAGTTATAACTTATTATAGATATACACTAGTTATTGTTATACACTACACTAGTTATACACTAGTTATTGTTATACACTACACTAGTTATAACTTGTTATAGTTATACACTAGTTATTGTTATACACTACACTAGTTATACACTAGTTATACAATAGTTATTGTTATACACTACACTAGTTATACACTAGTTATACAATAGTTATTGTTATACACTACACTAGTTATACACTAGTTATACAATAGTTATTGTTATACACTACACTAGTTATACACTAGTTATACAATAGTTATTGTTATACACTAGTTATAACACTACACTTGTTATAACAACTTGTTATAACTCTACACTTGTTATCACACTACACTTGTTAAAACACTACACTAATGGTAAAGGGTTCAGAAGCGACCCGGCCACAAACGATAACTCAACCAAGTTGGCTCATCATCACCACTAGTGCACTACGTCATCATCACCACTAGTGCCCTACGTCATCACCACCACTAGTGCACTACGTCATCACCATCACTAGTGCACTACGTCATCACCACCACTAGTGCACTACGTCATCATCACTAGTGCACTACGTCATCATCACCACTAGTGCACTACGTCATCATCACCACTAGTGCACTACGTCATCATCACCACGAGTGCCCTACGTCATCACCATCACTAGTGCACTACGTCATCACCACCACTAGTGCACTACGTCATCATCACCACTAGTGCACTACGTCATCATCACCACTAGTGCACTACGTCATCATCACCACGAGTGCACTACGTCATCACCATCACTAGTGCACTACGTCATCACCACCACTAGTGCAGTACGTCATCATCACTAGTGCACTACGTCATCATCACCACTAGTGCACTACGTCATCATCACCACTAGTGCACTACGTCATCATCACCACTAGTGCACTACGTCATCATCACCACGAGTGCACTACGTCATCACCATCACTAGTGCACTACGTCATCACCACCACTAGTGCACTACGTCATCATCACTAGTGCACTACGTCATCACCATCACTAGTGCACTACGTCATCATCACCGCGTGGCAATGTCTAAGCAGCCCAGTAGTCCTCTAAACGCGTGATGTCGAGTCTAGACGTGGAGGGGGGGAGGGAAACTCGGAGATAACCCACGAGGCGACCCAGACAGAGAGAGAGAGACACCGCAAACTACAAACAAACAGCAGCAGCAGCGGCCACCAGGCGTTGTCAGGGTGGTGATCGAACCCACGAGCCCCTGCACAGCAGGCGAGGTGGTCAACACCTCCGAGACGCCGCTGTGACCGCGACTGTGGTTAGAAACACAATGGGTTGGTTACAGTAACGAGTCTGTTATTGCATGTACATACATTGTGCCGTCGTTTAAAAAAAGGATTGTGAGAAAACATGTCACGCACTTATTGTTTTATGCTATGATTTATATGTGCATAATTGTGTTCCTTTATGTTGTTATTGTTGGCTTATTATCATGGATGATATTGGTGGCGACAGCCTACGTGATAAACATGATTATTGACTTTGTTCGCGGCTGTGAGCTGGGCCACTCGCCACTGCTCTTGAGCAGCCCACCTGGTTCAGCGAAAAATACAACTTTCAACTACGACGACGACGCTGCAACAACAACATCAAGTCGCGTGCAACAACAACATGATGAAGTCGCGTGCAACAATGTCACTGAAGCAGTGGGAGAACGGCGTGGAGCGGACACACCGGGACAAGAGCGGTGTGTGGGTGGTGTGTGTGGGTGGGTGGTGTGTGGGTGGTGAGTGGGTGAGTGTAGGTGGTGTGTGGGTGTGGTGTGTGTGTGGGTGGTGTGTAGGTGGTGTGTGTGTGGTGAGTGTGTGGTGTGTGTGGGTGGTGTGTGGATGGTGAGTGGGTGGTGTGTGGGTGGTGGTGTGTGTGGGTTGTGAGTGGGTTAGTGTAGGTGGTGTGGGGGTGGTGAGTGTGGGTGGTGTGTAGGTGAGTGGATGGTGTGGGTGGTGTGTGGGTGGTGGGGGGGTGGTGTGTGTGTGTGGTGTATGTGGTGTGTGGGTGAGTGTAGGTGGAGTGTGGGTGGGTGGTGTGTGTGGGTGGAGTGTTTGTGGTGTGTGGGTGGGTGTTTGTGAATGTGTCGAGTGGTGAGCGTGGCGCTGTGCGACCGACACGGCCACCAAAGTTCGTTTCCAAGCTCACGGCCAACACCGAGTGTCCTGGGCCGCCCGTGTCCTGGGCCGCCCCTAGGTCGACTCGGCCTCAAACGAGTACGTGGTGCGTGCACATCGCCACTAGGGGAGACAAAGGCGGTGGGCCCGTCGTGGGGCTGGTCACCCACCCTCGTGCCCTGCCGGCCCTTCATAGGCGCTCGCCAACAGCACTTGACCCCAAGTCAGTTAGAGGATGCACAGGGAGGGGGGGGGGTCTTTGTCCTATCTCGTGCGCTGCGTATTTAGTGTAATTATAAGTGAAGAATATGGAGTGAAAGCTGAAAGGTCGCACGTGGAGATGAGTGGCGGCGATTTACACCGAGACGGAGAAACGCGTGGGCTCGAGAACACATCGCAAAGTAAACACAACGCCGACTTGAGAAAACGAAGTGATTCTAGATTTGAAGCTTTCGTGACTGCAAGGATTCATACTCTTAGTTCTTTCGGTAAAGTCACGTAGGTAAAAAAAATGAAATTAAAATTCATAAAACCTCTTGGGACTTCTCTCCACTTGATACAGATTTTTTGCTGTGACAGTTTCACCTGAAGACGGAAGCTTGTGTTGCCTCCGAAACGTCGTGATTTTATTTTTTTTATTTTTTATTAATTTTAATTAAATTTTTTACCTACATGGTGACTTTACCGAAAGAACTAAGAGTATAAAAAAACGAAGTGATTTTGAGCGCGACTCGCCGCTCTAAAGGACAATGGGCACTGGGCAAGGCCGGTGATGAACTGTCGGCGGAAGGAGGACACGTGGCCTGGGAGGAGGAGGAGGACCTCCAGCGCAGAGACGGAGCGACAAGAACAGCTCACACCACGGGATTGTGGCGTCTCAGGTCCGTGAGGGCTGGTGGATATATCAACACGTGGGCTGCTGATGACTCAAACCAGTGCCTCGATGGGTATCAACCGGTTCCTTTAACAATCAGCATTTAAACACATTCCTCATGCGGAGGAGCTGGTAGGAACGTTGGGTTGCTCGGTCAATGGCCAGGGTCAACGGCAGCGTGGTGTATTCCGCAAATATGCCCGACTGCGAGGGCGGGCACAAGCCGGCGTGAGTAGGTTAAACGTTGAGTTTTATAAGGGCACCACGGGGTGACCAGCCCCTCCCCATCCAGGCCCTCCCTACCCAGCCCCACCCTCCCACCCCGACCCAGCCCCACCCTCCCCACCCAGCTCCTCCCCACCCAGCCTCTCCCCACCCTCCCCACCCAGTCCCTCCCCACCCAGCTCCTCCCTCCCCACCCAGCCCCTCCCTGCACGACGGACGGACACAATAATCCCCTGTGGGCTGGTGGAACCAGTGGGT